TGCACGCCCTCACAGCCAATCTCGACGGCGACATCGACGCGGTCGTTGATCAGGAGCGGCACACCATGGCTCTGGGTAAGCTGGTGCAGCTTCTTGGCAACGGCGACGGCGTCCTCTTTGGCGCTGTGCTTGTCGCGATACTGGACGACGGTTACGCCGCCTCGCAGCGAGGCCTCGACTACGCTGATGAGGTCTTTGTCTCCCAGGATGGCGGGCGTGGAGTCGGTGACGAGGTAGACGGAGTAATCTACTGCCATTTTTTGGTTCACGCCGCACGGACTGGACAACGAGAGGTTGGACTCTGGAGAGGGAGGGGTTGGTTGTGTTGGAGATTGATAAGTGCGGGTGAGGTCATTCGTGGTGGTTTGCCCGAATGGGGAGAATTATGGGCCGCGGTCGGCCATGGGCGCGGGTAAATAGGGCATGTTGGATGTATTTGACTGCTCTGAACTTCTAACTCGAGGGTCATCGTGGAAAGATATTCGTTGTGGCCGTTTACTGGGACATTCGGCGAGAAAATACGTTGGCCAAGGTGATTGTATTTGAATCAATGTGAGCAGGAAGGCGTGAATGGTCAAGGCAGAGAGATGAGAGATACTTTATAGCGCTGCTCTTCCGTCAATCTGAGTGTGATTTTAAACTACCTCTCTACCTCTATTTCCCCTGATGTTTTGTGCTGGGCGTCTTTAATCTTCATCATCCTCATAACGTATAAGCGATTTTGAGAAACATGCTCAAACTCATGTGACACAGTGAGACCATTGAGCCTTCGTCTTATGCAGAGAACCATTTCCATCTCACAAAAAGCACATGACATCTTTTCATCATTTCTCTCAACTTTTTCTCAATAAACATTCAATAAGCCATCTTTCATGCACTGTCAATGACACGTCAATCTTACAACATTTCAACGCGCGTCTTTTTTTTCCTTTTCTTTTCGAGTAATGCGCTTAGCCGGAAGCGGATCCCAATGGTTGAACAGACACCGAAATCTGGCTCGGCTGCGACGGCGTGATCCCCTCCGTCTCACTACTTAGTCTCAACCACATCTGGCCCTGCTGCTGCGTCGCATTGGCAAGGGAGCGCTTCGCCTCATCTCTCAGCTGGTGGAGGACCTTGAATCCTCCCCTGATGTTGTCCGTCTCGTACCCCTTAGCCCGGAGCACACTATTCGCCACGCGGGAGCTGTCGCCGTCGTAGCACAGGAGCAAGACACGCTTGCCGTGAAGAAGGGACTGGAGGTCTTGGTGAGGGACTTTAAAGGTCTCTTCAAGCCTAGTCCATAGCCCCTTAAGGGTGCTAGGATCAGAGAAGGGACTGGGCTGGTCCGCCTGGACGAACGGCACATTGGTAGATCCGGGGACGTGGAATTCTTCAAAGTCTGCCGCCTGGCGAAGATCAATGATTGTAGTTTCAGATTTGGGCCGAGCAGCGCTGTTTTCCAAAAGCACATCGCCGCTCACAGTTTTGCTGACACCAAAAAAGGCAGCGAGGGCGTCGGCTGCGTCTCGTTCCCAGGCTTCGTCATATCTGTAGACATCGACGCCGAGGAGTTCCTAATCTCAAATTAGTCATGAATGACGGAAAGTGACCGACAGTTGGCTGCTTTTCAGGCACATACCTCATTTTTGATGGATGGGAAAAACGACTCGCCCAGTTTGTCAAAGTACTCGCTTACATACTGGTATGGCAAATCGCAGCACAAGAAGGCACAGTGAATCTCGCCATCCGACCCGGCCAACTGGGAGAGATTGCCTTCTGCCTTGCGCTTCTCGATGAACTGGAAGAGGCCTTTAAGGTTGAACCCGGACGAGGGTCCGCAAACAAGACCTTCTCGGATCATGTCCAAGGAGAGAGAGTACGAGTCGTGCGACCCAACTTCCTCGATGTGGTCAACGGCAGCTTTCCAAGGGAACTCAACAGGTGCCAGCAGGGCGTACGACCGGGGTCCTGGGACCCGGTCACCGGCTGCAGTGCAGACTCTGTTTTGTTGTGTTAGCGATTCCGATCGAGCGGCGAATGCTTCAAGACTACACTCACCCGAGTCTGAAGACGCTAGGCTTTGCCTCCTTGAAGTACGTGCCAAGACCAGTCATGGTACCTTCAGTCACAAGTTAGCAAGGTTACATTTACACATGAAGAGCCAGGGAGCTCACCTGAAGTGCCCATGCCTGCACAGATGATGTTAATTTCAGGTAGCTGCCTCAAGATTTGAGGCCCCGTCCACTTGACATGAGACTTCCAGTTCTACACGACAGGGTTATATTAGCATAAAGTATACAAAGTGAATCGCGGCCTGACTTACGTTGTCGTTTTCATATTGATTAGGGTTAATAGTCGCCGAGTCAGACGTCTGTGCCAATCTCTGCGCAGCCCGAATACCACCACGCTCATCAAGAGGTTCGGGTTGTGAGGGACCGCCAAACAGTGTGCTAGGATGTATATGAGTACTCCGTTGTCAAGGTATGAACAAGAGCCAAGTCATGACGTACATGTTGATTCCGAACAGCTGCATCAGGCGAATCTTGGCAAGACTAGTCTTATTGCTAAGAAAAGCCCGGACATCTGGCAGGCCATAGAATGCCCGGGCAATCAGGGACATGGAAAGAACGGTTGAGCCGGAGCTGTATTCGACAACAGTCTTGGTCTTGTCTGGGACGATGCTATTCTGCAAAAGATTGAGGGCTACAAAACACCCAAGAGTTAGACAGACATGACATGAGTGGAATAGTTCGTGGCCGCCGTCATATACCTGGCATTGACTTGACATTATTAGCGGGATGCATAGACATCATCTTCGCGTAGATGCGAATACCCTCGGAGCGGTAGGGGTTGAGACAGTCCGGTATCTCAACCAGGGGCATTGGCGGCGACGACTCTGGATCGAAATACTGCCGAACCGAGTCGGGCCCCTTGTAGACGTTCAAGAAGTTGTCATTACCCATGGCTGCCGTCTAGTCGTCTTCTGATTTGTCTATGCGTTTTGGTGGTATTTTCGTCCGGTCTTTCAGGGTCAGGTTTTGTTTGTGCTTGATATATATACATGCATGTATGTATATGCCGTTGCAGCTCGGACTACCACCCTTTGTTTTTTCCAAGTCAAGGCGTCAAATAAAATAAGGCTACTTGGAAGAGCAGCCACGGTACTTATCCCGTCGTCGTCGTCGACATCCCTGCGACCAACTATCACCGGGAACCTTGCGTCAGAACGAGCGGGCGCCGCAAACCTAGCTAAAACAACGCAAAACCCGCATCGGCCATTACAAAATCCACTTCCATTATTGAATAGCCCCTCTAGCTCCTGCAACGTTGTGTGGCTTGTAATGCTTACTTGCGTCCAATGATACGAGGTTGCTGATCATCTGCTCGCCGTGACTTACATGCCGGTCCTACAGCTCATGTCCGCTAACCGCGGTTTCGTGCTGTCATGATCTTCGCATGTCTTTGTCTAGAACAGCACGCCACTGGGTTTCAGTCACCAGCTGCATCCGCCAAGAGAACCAGGGGCCAGCAATTTGTTGTAATACTGCGCCTAGACTGGCAAGTTGGTAGACAGCGACATGTCTTGCTGGGATCGAGATGGGCCAACGGCTGGGGTTGACGAAGTGTGGGTTTTCTTATCTGATGGATAACTCAAATACCAATCGTTGTGATATAATTTGACACTGCTTAACAAGTACCTTGTTGTCCTGGGCGAACTGTCTGTCATACATACATAGAGCTAGCAACAAAGAAATGAAAAATTAAAAAAAAAAAAAACTCACCCATGTCTGTCCATCAGGGTAGTAATAAGACCACCAAGGTATTGTAGAGATGCAAGATGTGCTGCTTATGCGACACGTCCCTCGTTCGTCCGGCCAGTAGCACACACAACCTTTAGGCAGTCTTTGCAGCGTGGCCTGACGATGCTTTTTTTTTTCTTGTCCTCGGGGTCGAGAGCACACCCTGATAGTTTCACCTCCCTCCCCAGAACACTTCCAATCGCCAAGATCGCGGTCGCTGGTGGAGATGGGCTTTGACTTTTGACCCTTACAGACGGCGCCGATCTCCTCCCTGTTTGAGCTTAATCTCTTTACCTGAGACCAGGAATCACCAACCACATCCTTCTGGAATAGGAAAGCTGGCTTCTCAAATACGCTCAAAGTCTCTCAAGGTTGCTGCACATATCATCCCCCGCTCCACGGTGGTAATCTTAACCGCCGTGAGGGATGCAGTAAAAGTTCACCTGCGAGTTTGTGTAGCCACGGAATAGAGCTGTATATCATGGCATGGCAACCTCGCGGAGGGTCTTCAACGGCCGCAAAGACGGTCAAAGTAGGGACGGAAGCAATGTGACCGCCTGTCACGAAGCCATTCGGACAATCGAACAAGTAAAGTAGGCTTTCGCGGTTGGAGCCAAGTGTTATGCTTCTCCACTCATCGGACTTGCTTGGCTTGCCATCTCGTTAAGCTTGTTCTGGCCACAACTATACAAGCCCGTGGATGGTTGCTTTTTCGCTGACTGCTCAACGGCAAGACCTGCCAAGAAGGGAGACTAGACCATTATCAGGGATTGGCGACGTGGGCCTGTAGGTCGCATTGTTCACAAATTGCCATGCCGTATGGACGGATCTCGCCCTTCTGATACAACGTCAGTATTACCGTCCCAACCCAAGTACGTGCTCAATGGCCCTCAAACCTTGTCGTTGATGAACAGGGGCCGAGGGGATCTCGACCAAAACCCTGACATTATTCGGTTTCATACCTCACATTTATTGGTCATACAGGTTCGCAAACGTCGTTTGTCGGTCGTTTATTTGTCGTAATCGATAAGCTTTTCAACCTGCTTGCAAAACCCGACCGACTCATTCCTGGCCACGCTCGAGTCCATTCTTGCTTTGTCCCTCTCGCAAACCCAACTTGGTCTCCAAGTTCAAATTGCCATCCCTCGCTCGAAGAGGCCATGAGTCGATGACCACTTGATCAAACCAGCAGCATATTGCCACCTCGAATCGGAAAAAATGGGGAAAGAGTCGTCAAGCCAGGCACAGGAACTCGCCGTGGTGGTAGGTGTGCCAGCAAGTCCATCTGCCGATGCGTCCGCATCGTCTGATAGCGACGGCGAAGTCGCCAAGGTACACCAGTTCAACGAGCAGACGAACTATGTGCCCAAAAGAACAATCATTACAGTAATACGCACCCATTTCGCTGACAATAACTCACGTTGTCTGTCGACTTCATACTGACCGCCACAGATCTTTCTCGCCTGTGCCAGCGTTGACCTGTTAGCTTTGATGGACCAAACCACCCTCGCCACAAGTTTGTACATCATAGGACGAGCTCTGGGATCAACAGACCAAGTATCATGGATTGCTAGTGGTTATTTCATGCATGTACCTCTACAACGTTCAGAAGAAGGACATTCGCTAATGCGACGGATAGAACGTCTACCGTGGGACAATTGCTATACGGCCGACTCTCCGACATTTGGTCCCGCAAAGTAGTCCTGCTAACTGGGCTCGCCATATTCTTCATCGGATCTTTGGCATCGTCTCTTGCTCAATCCGTGCTACAACTGACCGTCTTCCGCGCTTTTACTGGCATTGGAGGCGGTGGCTTGATGACTGTCGCACAGCTCATTGTCAGTGACGTCGTGCCTTTGCGAGAGAGAGGAAAGTACCAAGGAATTCTGGTAAGGGACCTTGCGGCCAAACCTTCTCTTTGTTTCCAAGCTGATGAAGGTGTCAAGGGTGCTGTTGTAGCCATTGCAAACGGTATTGGCCCCGTTATCGGTGGTGCTCTTTCGTCCAAGTCCTCTGAATCATGGCGGTGGATTTTCCGTCTCAATCTTCCATTGACTGCCCTAACGACGGGCTGTGTCATCTTTTTCATGCCGTTAAAGAAGGTCCAGGGAGATTGGAAACTGTAAGTCTCGTTGTGCTGCGATACTCCAGCCGGGGTTTTTGTCTAATTTCCTCTCTTTTTAACACATCTTCAGAAAATTAAAGGCTGTCGATTTCGGCGGAATCTTCCTGGCATTTGCCGGAATGACCATCTTTATTCTGGGCATGACTTGGGGAGGTCGCGAATACTCGTGGAATTCCGTACAGGTCATCACCACCATGGTGATTGGTGTGGTTGTCTCGATTGGCTTCGTTTTGTGGCAGTGGAAAGGACCAAAGTATCCTCTTGTGCCTCGTAAGTGCCTCACTTCTGTCTGTCAATTTTCGCCTCATGGGCCGCTAACATGCCTCAGTCCATATTTTCAAGTCCAAGATCGTCAACGGCGCATGCCTAACAATGGCCATCAACGGATGGAACTTTGTCATGCAAGTGTACTATGTCCCGTCCTTCTACCAGCTCGTCTATGGATACTCTGCCACAAAGTCAGGAGCTCTTCTTCTTCCCATCACCATCATTCAAACTATCAGCAGCACTCTCTCCGGCTTGATTGTACACTGGATCGGCAGGTATCGGGAATGTATTTTATTTGGCTGGGTATGCTGGGCCGTTGGCCTTGGTCTCATGTCGACTTTGGACGAAACCACCGGACTTGGTAAACAGATTGGTTACGCTTTACTGATTGGTGTTGGAGTTGGCAACACACTACAGCCGTTAGTTGATTCTGCCGCACTTGGCACATATTCATATGGAGTTTCACATCTAACTCACCCAGGGCATTGATTGCAACACAGGCTGGCGTTGAGCGGCGCGACATGGCCATCGTTACTTCATTTCGCAAGTATGTGCAGAAAGAAAAGGAGAGATTGGGAAAACCCGCCCCTAAGCCGGCAGATGTTAACAGCGTGCAACAGTTTCGTCCGAAACCTCGGGTCAACCCTTGGACTTGCAGTCTCTGGGACTGTAATGTGAGCCAAAGCCTACACATGAAGCCCTTCCCTACTGTATACCAACGTACTGATAATGTGTAGCAACAACATTCTGGCTGGAGCATTTTCATCCCTTAACCTGGATGCAAAGGCAGCCAAAGTCCTACTCAGCAACCCACAAGAATATCTCCGAGAAGTGTCTCCGGAAGAAGCCGACCGTGTCAGAGCTATTCTTTTTCCGGCATACAAACGCGGGTTCCGTATTATTTTCATTGTCGGCGCATCCTTGGCCGCATTTGCATTTGTCCTGGCATTTTTCCTCATGCCGCAGGTAGAGTTGAGTCGACCGGATGACCAAAAGTTAAAGGAGGAGGCGCAAAAAGCTCACGATGAGAAGAAGAAAAAGAAAGAGGCAGCTTAGATTTCATGACCTGTTATTGCTCAAAGGATTTTTTTCTTCTTTCTGTCAGCTTTGTAGAATTGGATTAGAGTGGGTTAAAAGTACGGCCGCCGTGATAAAATATAGACAGACTGGACTAGACGGGAAAAGGAGAGTGTCATGCCGAGGATTTCAAAAGATTTAAAAGTTTAAAAGTACTTATTTAACGAGCATAGTCTACATGACTGTGTTTAATCAATAAATGAATATTCGATTCTGAAACTGCAATGCGGTGTGCGTGCGAGGTTAAAGTAAAAAAAAAGTGAAGGAGTAAGTGTCTACCTAGGTAGTTAGGCGTGGTCCAGTTCCTTCCCGAGACAAACGGCTGTTGCGTCACTTTTGATCAGCCCCACCATCAACTTCATCTCATCTCCATCCACATCGCAGCATGAAAACTCATCCATACTCAAGCAAGACTACATCATTTAAGCCTTGAGCGCGGCTCAACCGTTATAATGACACGATTCCGACCGTGTATAGACCTACACGCCGGCCAGGTTAAGCAGATTGTCGGCGGGACTCTCGACAGCGCCTCGTCGGCCCTGCAAACGAATTATGTGTCACAACACCCTCCGTCTCACTTTGCAGAGTTGTACCGGAGCAATTCCCTCGAGGGCGCTCATGTCATCATGCTGGGGCCGGGAAACACGGAGCCTGCCAAGCAGGCGTTGCAGACGTGGCCGGGTCACTTGCAAGTAGGTGGCGGGATCAACGACAAAAACGCAAAGGAGTGGGTGGACGCGGGGGCTTCCAAGGTTGGTTCCACGAGCCCGGCAGAAGACGGCTCGCAATATCGGAGGCTAAAGGGAACACTACCAGGTCATTATCACATCATATCTCTTCCCGGGAGGGAAATTTAGCCAGTCAAGACTAGACGCTGTTCTCGGAGCTTTGGGCGGCGACAAGAACAGACTGGTCATTGATCTGAGTTGTCGCCGGCGCGGTGAGGCCTCATGGTCTGTGGCTATGGACAAATGGCAAACAATAACGGACATGGAGGTCAATCAAGGTAGGTGGCTGGCCGGGAATGGGACTCCAGGGTACGGAATTTGTTGACGGCTTGGCTGACCGTGGAACCAGAATCTATCAAAGCCCTGGAGCCGTATTGCTCCGAGTTCTTGATTCATGCGGCAGACAATGAGGGCCTGCAGAAGGGCATAGACGAGAAGCTGGTGGAGAGACTGGCCGAGTGGTGCTCTATCCCCGTCACTTATGCCGGTGGAGGGCGGTATCTGGAAGACCTGGATCTCGTCAAGCGGCTCAGCGGGGGCAAAGTCGACCTGACTATTGGTAGTGCATTGGACTGTTTTGGTGGGAACGGGGTCAAGTTTGATGATTGCGTGGTTTGGAATAGAAGGCAGGAGGAGTAACTAAATGCTACGATAGAAAGAAGAGGAATGTGACGAACATGTACAGAGGATGACGCAAGAGCATGATGCGGCTGGGGTGGTTTGGCCAAAGAGCAATGAGCGGTCTAATAGACGCGGGAGTCGCCGCACTGATGCATCTAAGTACAAATAAATGGTCAAGAGTGCAAGACCTCAAGTGCTGTTTTTGGTGGGGACAAACGCAGGTGACTATTTTTTTTCTTTATCGCCGCTTCTGATACAGAGTCCGAGGTCGTTCTATTTAATTGCGCGCTTTTTTTTTTCCTTTTCCATGTCGTGGTGGCTGAGGCATCCACGACAACGGCAACAATTGTTTACACATTGTTTCCTTGCAAGGGCCGTTGGCCAAGGAACAGGGCACTAATAACAACACATACCGAGTTTTTAACATGCTCCGATCGCCAATCTCTGTGCACCACTGCACATTGACAAGGTTACAAGGCTTTGAATCAATGGTCGGGGTGGAGAGAACAGGCGGAGGAGGCGATTTGTACGGCATATACGAGGTATTGTGCCATTGACTGCTCCCAGTTCCCGGTAAAGTTGAAACAAGCCAACGTTGAGCACAAAGCGCCCATCATTGGGCAGAGAGACGTTGATTCTAAAGTTGGCTGTTGTCTACGACATGCAACATGCGATATGCATCATGTGAAACAAAGATATGGTTGCCCCGTAATGGCTCTCCAGAATCCAGACAGGAATACTATTATCTCTTCATCGGACTCCCCATCGCACATGTGCACCCGTCAGCAATGACGTGCAGGACGCGCAGAGCGTGCAGGAGGAGGCAGGCTGCATACAAGCTATCCATCACGGATGGGTTCGTACAGGCCGTCAGTTGATCATGTCCCCCCACCAGTGCGCAGACAGCAGTGGGCGGTTCCATTCCATTGTTTTGCGCATGTCGTCTTTTTGGACCCTGGCTTATCTGGGCTTCGCTGCCATGGCGCCTCCATTGGGAGCATGGCTGACAAGGGCGGACGGACGGATGGGGGAGATCAAGATTCCGATGACGGTATTTCCTGTGACTCCAGTATTGTTCATCCTTCTACGGAGCACTCCGTACCAGACGGGAGGAAGTCGATGGCAGCGGACCAGGATGGCGCTCATCATGGAGTCCATGGAGTCGTGGGATCATGGGGCGATGAATAAATAGGTCTCGAGCCGCAGCAGTGGCGTCTTGCGCTCGAGATGCAACTGCGGCGGGGTCAGACCAGTTGACTGCACTGGAGCCATCGGATTGCTTGAGCTGACAAGGACCAGTTGACCTGACATGGGCCAGTCGACCCCCGGTGCGTTCTGCTTCATGTTTCTTGCCAGTGCGTGTTCCCTGCGGCGCCGTGCTACTGGTTCGTTTTAGGGCGTCACGGGGCTGCTCGCTGCCACCAGTTGCCCTCGAGTGCTGGGGCCGTTCTTGACGGCAGGTAGAGGGTGGCACGATGACGGGTGCAAGGCGGGTGCAAGGCGGGTTGCATGGCGGCTCTGGTGGGTTCATGGCGGCCTCGGCGCTGGGACCATCGGTTGCCGGGGCAACCCCCCTCGAATCTCCCCGGCACTGTTTATCCAACCCAGGCCAATCATGCGCCTCGACAATGTCGTCTACTATCAATCACTTGCATTCCTTAAGTGCTGCCACTCTCCGTTCGTCAGTCCGACTCCTCATCGTCAGCGTCATTCATTCTTGGATGATACTGCGAGAAGCTGTGTAGATTGGCCGTTTCCCAGCCAGCTGTCGACGCATCGTGACGAGTCGCATCGTGCATGTCGATTCGCGTCGCCTCGTCCGGCCTCATTGATCGCAGTAGAAAGGCACCAAGGCAGCTTGTATTGCCTCAGACACCAACTTGGCCAAGCCGCTCAACAGCATTCCTAACATCCACATCGCACCACTCTGCTGCCGTTCTGCGAGTCGACACATTCCTCAACTGTCTGACCCTGCAACACCAGAAAAAACCGAGCTGTGGTCACCATGGCCACCGAGCCGGTATGGCAAACTTGACCCTTTTGCACCTGCTCCTCCGCATCACACTAACGCTCGGGTCTCAGGTGCATCCTCTTCGCATCTCCAAGAACACGCCAACACCTTCGCCAAAGAAGACGATGGCCAGCCCGCTTCCTCGTCCGTTGAGCGAGATATCGCCAACAGAGAAGAGACGAAATTCGCCAAGCTGGCAGCCGTATTCTCCCAAGGTTCGTTACATGCCCATGCCCATTCCCCCAAAACCCCAACCCCCAGGTCACCTGCCATTACTGCAACTATCATTATTGTTCATGCGCCCTGTTGTGGCTGGTCGTCTCTGGCATCTGAATGATGTCCTCTGTTTCCCCACCGGTTCTCGCGGCTTCGTGCATTTGGTTTCACACCGCACAGTCTCCCCCGTCTCCATAAACTTCCTCACGTCTTCATCTCTTATTTCTAACACTTGTGATATAGAGGTCTGCGCTGCCCGGCAACGACTCTTCACCATTCCAGTCCTCACCGCAGGAGTCTTCCACTTCACCAAGACTCTTCTGGCAGAGTCGCAACTCTGAGAACATGCTTCATGGCGCCTGTTCTGGTTCGCCCTCGCCAAACCGCCGTTCTTCCATTGAGCGCCTCCAGAGGGCGTCTCGTGTGAGAAACAGCAACATCTTGGCGCTGGAGCAGAAGCAAGAATATGACCCTACCAGAATCCCGCACATCGAGAGACCCCTGGCAAAGGTCCAAGGAAGCGTCCTTACGTCTTCGTCGAGCTCTGGTGGCTTTCGCTCCTCAGACTCAGATCTTCAAGAACCCGACAACAGGTCGAGTCTGTCCATGATGAGCCCGTCCAAGATTTCACCTAAGCTGCCTGAGATTACCCAAAAGTCAGCGAGATCTCCAAGCAAAGACCAAGCCTCCCCAACCAAGTCCTCTCTTTCACCAACCAAATTCAACAAGAACACATTTGACCCCGACGTCGGTACTTGGTCCGGACATTCGTCTTTGAGCGAGAAAGAACTTCCTGACGGCCGCTACCTGAGCCGGCATCACAAGAGTGTCACCTTTGACGCCGCGCCGCCTCAGATCAATGAGTATGAAATGGCCACACCTGACCTCTCATCTATCGGAACAAATTCACGAGAGGGCAGCTACGACTCGGTTGAGGACGAAGACGACGACGACGACCTCTATGACCCCGCGCATATCGACGTCCAGGACGAAAGCTTTGACGAGTCCCTTGAAGACACTGACAAGACTCCTGTGGTTGGCCCGGACGACTGGCGCGGTGACAGCCCTGTGATTCACCGCGTTCTGGACCCCAGCAAGTTTGAAGGCAGTCCAATACCGGAGCCTGGCCCCATGATGGCGGCTACCGGACGAACAACCCCTACCAACAACAAGCGTTCTGACTCTGCCACCTCCAACGGAGACCATCGACCACTGCCTCCTCTGCCAGGCACGGGCCACTCTAGAAGCCAGTCTTCAGGCTCCAACGGGGCCTCTCCCGGACTATCTGCGACAGCTGAGAGAATGCTCGGCGGCTCACACCGGAGCCTGCCCGTCCCTCCACCCGCATTCGCATCCAAATCTGATATCCAGAGCTTTGGTAGTCAAAAGATGACCCTGGAGGAGCGGCTGAAGCTTATGATGCTGTCTGACGATAATGGCGACAGCAAGACCGCCGCTGAGCAGCAGCGGGAGCGCAGAATGCGACGTGGAGCTGGCCGTGAGAGAGGCGGAACTCCACACTCCGAGGCCGAGTCCGAGACGGCGCTGGAGGCTTTTGAGGTCGATGATACTATTGGAGATATCTCGGGGATAGACTTTCAAATACCACCCAAAATCTCCAGGGAATCCATTATGCGCCGTGTAAACGGTAACAACGCCGTTGATGAGCGCTCTGGACACCACTTCTCGTCTCCCGCAGCCAGCCCCCAGAGGAGTCTGTTGCCGCACGCAGAAGAGTCCGTTGTGGATCTGGATCCGGACGTTCCTATCCCATCAACGGAGGATTCCTTGGTAGAGTCCGACTATGAGCAGGAAGCTAGTGTCATCATCACTAGAAATTCTGACGGTGAGGACGAGGATGTCCTAGATTACTACGAGGAAGAAACTCTGGCCCTCGATGAGGATGTGGCAGAAGGAGCGCAGCCTGAGGAAGAATACGTTGAGCAGCCCCAGATTACGCAGCAAATTGAGGAGGTTGCAGCAACCGCTGAGAGGCAAGACCATTCACCCCACCAACATCTGAAATTAGAACCTTTCACAACCGGACTGGGCTTCGATGGGGTAGATGACCCGTTCACGTCCCCCAAGGCGGTTGAAGAGCCGGTCAAGCACCAACCTATACATGAGAATGAGACAAGAAGCAGTGAGCAACAGATTCTTGAGCCTCCCAAACGACCCGCAACGCCTACTCGACGCATGTCGAAACCGGAGTACGATGGCAGTGGCTGGGGTGAGCCTGATGATGAATTTGCAGACGAGCCCGGCAGTCCTAGCTCAGTCATTCACCATCCTGTTGAGGAAGAAAGGACCGAGTCCCCTCCTGCCATTCCCGAGAGAATCGCCACTATCAAAGCCTCTGGTGCCAAGCTCAAGACTCGAATCTCCAATACCCCCTCAGACCTTGCTGCCATGCGCGAAGCTCGCAGACAGGTGAGTCGTGAGGTGCCCAACGTGCCACCCATCCCTGAGAAACACCGCAACCGCATGTCACGGGATATGGGTGCCGAGGGGCTGCTGGAGCAGGACGAGTTCATCGCCCGTCACCCAAGCTTCAAAAATCGCAGCCTTACTCTGGATCTTGACATGGGCCTGAGCCTCGATCAAGATTTTGAACGTGTCATTGAGGCACAAAAACGAGGCTATCTCATGCGACAAAATACAAAGGTCATTACGGCCAGCGACAAGGACGGCGACGACCACAGCAGGGCGAGATCTGCTCAAAGCTCTCCCGTCAAGCAAGGCCGCCCAGAAACTTGGGTGGTAGAGCCGTGGAACGGAGAGGCTCGCCCACGCAGCATGCGCAAGCGTATCACCGGCGCCAGCGACGCCATCCCGCCGTTGCCTGGCAGGGATAGCAATGCCACGACTATCAACCATGGGCTTGAGGAAGACCTTCAGTCCGAAGTCGCTACCATTGACAGCGGTGAGAGGGGCCGACTTTTTGTCAAGGTCATGGGAGTCAAGGACCTGGATCTTCCCTTGCCAAAGAATGAGAGAACTTGGTTCAGCCTCACTTTGGACAACGGCGTCCACTGTGTCACCACAGCCTGGCTTGAACTAGCCAGAAATGCCCCCATTGGACAAGAGTTTGAGTTGGTGGTGCCAAACGACTTGGAGTTCCAGTTGACGCTCAATGTCAAGCTAGAGAAGCCCGCGTACCTGGATGCACAGACAGCAAGCAAGCCTGTCAAGACCAAGACTTCCACTTTCAGCCGTGTGTTTGCATCTCCGAAGAAGCGCAGAGAGATGGAACTCCGACAAAAGGAAGAAGAGCGCCAGCAAAGAGAGGCGCTCGCCCGCCAGCGGAACTGCGCTCCATCAGGATATGAGCTCCTATCTCCTCTCACCGCTGAGGATGGTAGCTTTGCTCGATCATACGTTTGCTTGAAGGAACACGAGCACCGATGCTTTGGCCGACCATACATGGCTGAGATTGCCTGTTTCAACGAATGGGCCACCGAGGAAGAGAGCTTTGCTTGCAGTGTCAAGAGCAAGCGTGGAACCGCGGCGGCGGCGGTTGTTCGACGCGCCCCGTATAAAATTGGAAAGCTTGAACTTCAGTTGCTCTTCGTACCTCGTCCCAAGAATTCAACGGATGATGACATGCCCAAGAGCATGAACTCGTGTGTTCGGGAACTCAAGGCTGCTGAGGAACGGCTTTCTCGCAACTGGGAAGGCCATATGAGTCAACAAGGAGGCGATTGTCCCGTAAGTTTAAAATGCAATCATTCCGGAGTCAATCAAAAAGAACGGAGGCTGACAGCGTTATTTTTAGTACTGGCGTCGACGATATTTTAAGCTGGTTGGTACCAAGTTGACTGCTTATCATGAGGCAACTCGACAACCACGAGCCACCATTAATCTCTCGAATGCCAAGAGACTGATTGATGACCGAAGGGCATTGACGGAGAAGGAGACGACTGGAAAGGGCGGCAGGCGCCGACGATCTGCATTCGCAGAAGACGAAGAAGGCTACATGTTTGTTGAGGAAGGCTTCCGCATCCGGTTCAATAATGGCGAAGTAATCGACTTTTACGCCGACACTGCTGAGGACAAGGAAGGGTGGATGCGAGTCTTGTCAGAAATCCTTGGACGAGATAGCTCTATGGACGAGATTAACGGTGTTCGATCACGAGCGAAGTGGTGTGAGATTGTTCTTAGGCGGGAGGAGCAGCTTCGGCGCAAGGTAGAGGGCCGACGTGTACACTCGCGGTCAAAGAGCACGGTCTCATAGACCCAAAACCCTCGGCTTCCTGTTTACTTACCACCTATTGCTTTATACCTTCTTCTTTCCTTTACGGAATTTGTTTCACGGACACGCATGGCATGAGGCAACGAAGACACAGGCTCACACCAAGTCTCACGACGGGCTCACGACAGGTTCGGGAACCTGGAGTTATATACAGTTTAGGTGCTTTGTGCGTTGAGTGTTCGTTCAGGGCTATTGGCCTCTTTTTGCATTTGGAAAGCTTTTTGCTATTTTGGTTGTTTTGTAGAGAGTGATTGAAGCACAGTAGGGACAGACCATGCGAGGCATTTAGCAGCCTTGAGAATGTTTGCGGCGTCGCCGGTATCTCATTAGTCGACTTGTTTTATTTGGCGGTATGATAGGATTGTATGTATGAACTTTGTATTCACCAATATAAGTCGTAATGGAGACACTGCCTTGACGCCAATCAGTGAATGTTGGACGGGTAACAACGTCACCAAGATGCACCCACTGTGGTCGGTATGTTCTCGCGCACGAAGGATCGGACTTTCCAACAAATGATGAAGCCGTGATGCGTCTTTAGAAAATTGCAAGGTACATGGACGGAGGCAGTTGAACTTCTCATGAGGAATGTCTGGTGGACTTGTCGGTCGCAAGTGTTGCTTTACAAGTGTCATGACTGGTGGTGTCGCTAGTACGGGCCATCCAATTCGGTGCAGTATCATGGACAGTTTTGGCGCGACTTGGCCTATAATCAGACATTTTGTGCCGCAAATTCCAGACGGCGCGATTTATGAGGGCCTAGAAGACATGCTGTTTGGGTGCTCACACTTTATACTCCTGATAGTGGTGTAGGGTTGGGGTTAGTAATTAGCTTTTGTTACGAGGGATTGGAGTAGAGCTGGGGGTGTCTTACCTGCCCGACCTTCTGTCGGATAACGTAAGGCTTGTCATAATATAGGGGGGACTAAACACGTATTCTTTAATATTATTTCTTTTTAACTAGCTTCTTAGTGTTCTTCTTGACCTTCACTAAGGCTTCACCTGAGCTAGTGCGTTTAACGCATCGCGATGCGTGTACTTGGTGCTTTTTTTTACTGTTGTTATTATTTTAAAGCCTAATACGGCTCTTATAATATATTACTAGTAGACCCTTATTATTATTTAGCTTTTTTTAATTCTTTTTAATAATTTAATAGTATAAGTTAAGTTGGTAAAGGGATTTAAAAGTACCTAGGTAATTATATATTTGGCAATTTACCTTATATATATACTTTTAACCGGAAACTAAATATATATATACACCTATTAAGGCAGGCACTAATTAGGAAGTTATACTACAGTTATAATAGAGTGTTTTTCTAGATTAAAACTAAATTCTAATAGCGAATACCAGGATATGTAATTAATTTTTCAAAAATACCTGCTTACTTCCTTAAAATACAGTATAATTATAGACCTAAAAGGCCAAAAAAAGGGGAATTTATCAGAAAATTAGGTAAAATATAGTGGAGCCGGAAAAAAAAAGCGAAAAAAACCCCCGGCGGGACTCGAACCCGCAGTCTTAAGATTAGAAGTCTTACGCCTTAGCCATTAGGCCACGGGGGCTCCCACTTCGGTTGGCAACGAGGATGCTAAAATAACATATTCCGTATCTGAAACTAGTTCGCTACAGCTATTTTGTTGTGATTCTATGAGCATTTTTGGCATTATTAGTGGCCTTTCCCATGCAGTATTCGAATCATTTAATCAATTTGACCTAACTCGTCTTGTGGGGTGTGCGGGATGCCTATGGTATTAACTTGCGAGTTCTTTTTCACAGCGCCAAGTATCTGAACTCTCATTTTACTCTTGAGAGGTGAAGCGTTTGGTCCGACAGTGCATGCATGCCACATGGCATGAGCTTTAGGCTCACAGCTTCCTCAGCCGGCGCATGGGATGGACCTTTTGTTTACTAGAGTACTCGTTTGCAAGTCAACCCGTTTGCTAGTATACTTGTTTGCAGGAATACTCGTTTGCAAGTCAACCCGTTTGCTAGTATACTTGTTTGCAGGAATACTCGTTTGCAAGTCAACCCGTTTGCTAGTATACTTGTTTGCAGGAATACTCGTTTGCAGGTAGACCCGTTTGCTGATATGCTCGTTGACTGGTAGACTCCTCTCCGACGCCCAACTTATATATTTGCCCATGTGCCTGTTGTTTCTCCCTTTTTCTTCCTTTTTTTTTTAACCAGACCAGACTCTTTACCAATCGTTGGCCCAACTCACATCCACCACTATGGAAATGACAGCAGGTATTAAACGAAAGCGAGTCTCCGAGAGCACGGCATAATTACCAACCGAAGAGCAACGCCGCTCGTTTGGAAAAGGCTTATTTATTGTGAGGACCACTATCATCACATCCAACAGGCCGCCAGCACATATTGCAGAAAGTTCGCCTGTTTTACCAAAAGAAATTAAAAAGGTAACCTAGCCTTTCAATCCATTTTTCACAATATAATGTTTACTGATACGAGGCTCCAGAGTGTGAAAGTTCAACCTGATCTCGAGTTCCTAGACTCAAATAAAGCTTGTCTTCCAATGGAGAAAGACAAATGACAACACTTGCTCTCACCTGTCTACATGAGAAAAACAAGACCAAATTACTTCAAAGCTCCAAGACACACGAAGAAACAAAACGCGGCACAGGATTATCTACAAGCTGGATGCGAGCAAGAACACGCAGTACTACGAAATCGGCACTCCTTGGGCTCACCAAGCAAGTGGACATAGACATACAGAATCGGCGCTCCTTGAACCTACCAAGTAAGTGCACGGTAGGCATACGAAATCGGCGCTCCTTGAGCTTACCAAGTAAGTACGCGATGGCAGTACCATGGCCTGCGGCAAGGTATATCTGCCAACTAAGAAGTATATGCTAATATACTGCAGTATAGTACAGTATAGGGCGTGATAGCCAGATATCTGATCTGGTCAAACGTCTTTTGCCTCCCACTGTAAACCAGCGCTTCCTGAGCTTAGCGACATGCTTGATGTACAGCCTGAACTGGTTGCCAGCATCAATAAGTTCATCGATGCCACGACGATGCCTTGCGAGTTAGAGGAGAATCCTTCAATGGAGGATATCTACTCTGCTCTGGGCGCTCAGATGCTTCAACAAGAAGATGTTAATTCAAGGTCATCGTCGGAAAAATGGGAGCATCGCAAAGGTGGCGCTCTGGGACGTGTGCATCGCTGGAGCGATGAGGCTGGCAGATTCCGGGGGGAGTGCTGCGAGTTATTCTTACTCCCTCAGAGCGTTTCATACCCACGTCGAGCCGAATTAGGCGCATGCCGAGTAGAAGTTGATGATGATATCGACTTACAGCAGGATGATGAGGGAAACTACAAAATGTGGATAACCTTCGACATACGTGATCCTGGTACAGTCCGTCCTTTTCCATACGCATTATCTATAACGCCTGAAGATCCTGCCTCCCGTCTTGGTATGCGATGTCGCTTCATCAATAAAGATGGAGAACAAGTTCAAGCGTACTACCAAAAAAAGAGGCGAGCAGGCTGTCTTTCGAGCCAACACTCTCGTTGAGATACTTGCTGATGAGGTACCAATGACGGAGATTGTGCACAAGGAAAGGCGTTATATTTGCGCCAGGGAGAATACACTCGGCGGGATAAAGGGCTTCGAGAAAGGCAAATACACAAGTGCCCATTCAGACGCGGGGGGTCAACAAGATCCCTGGCGCTTTGGTGTTGGTAGGAGGTGAGAATGGAGAACAAACATGACTGTTGTATCAACTTCCGGTTAGATTATGAGTATGTATTAGATGGCATCACCAGGCATCAAGCCACATTATGATTGACGTCAGCGGAACGTGGCCATGAGTTGTCATAACAGTCGTCGATGGGCCGAACTTGGTGATGCTATCTAATACATACTCATGATCTAACCGGAAGTTGATACAACAGTCGTGTTCGCTCTGTTCTGACGACGTCGAGGCGGCGCAGCCAGGAGGCGTGCTGGTTGAACTGGGTTGGACGGAGTCCATTTCTCGAGCTGTTGATAGTAGTACTTGGTATTCATCTGTGCAAATACCTGATTTCTGTGCTGTACATACCTAGTATATAACGAGTTACTAGACAGACACTGGCGGTGGCAGACTGGGATCAAATGCAGATATCAATCCATCTACTTGAGTACATGTAGTGTCTGGTCGATCTGTATTTTAAGTGAAATGTTGGCAACTTGGCACCGATGCTCCCCAAGTCAACTGCGTCTAGGCGGTTGGGCGGGTACCTGTCAGTGTGTTACCCTGCAATTCCTAACTCGCCGAGTACTTAGGTACTTGGAAGTACTTAGACTTGACGCTGTTCCGCCTCTGCACTGCCCCTCCGTCTTGCACACGTACTTGTACATGTACCTTGCTGGTGTCACCCTGCCCGCCGCCGTCTTGTGACCTCAAGGCCACTTCCACCAGCTGGCGAAACCCTTTAATGTTCCCATTGACACCTTTTTCCAATTTTCCAATCCTCACGCGAGCAAACCCATCCTTATCTCCCTTCTCGCCATCTCACTTCCTCCCCTCGAACATCCCTCTTCTCTAACCTTGCAGCTGTGCTGCAGCAGTATCCGACATCATGGCCGGCCGATTCGTGAGGGCTTCCAAGTACCGTATGTCAAGCTACGCCTACTTACTTCACTGCCTTGCTTGCCCTTCGCTCCCGACCCTGCCGACCACGACGACATGTTGTTTTGGAAAACAGCCATAGCTGACTCTAAGCGATGCATTACAGGTCATGTATTTGGAAAGCCCACGAGAAAGGAGTTTTGCTACGATAACCTGCACATTAGTCGTAATGCGTGGGATACCAACCTGGTCAAGGTAAGACAAAGCGGCGGCGCAAGGGCTGACTTTTGCTGCGCAATGCCGGAACAAGCATTGTGCTGCCTGCGCAGAGCCCCTATGGCTAACCATCGGTGCTTTCACAGGTTAACCCCGAGTATTTGTCCGTCAATTGGGATTCTTCCGGCGGCGGTGCCTTTGCCGTGATCCCCCTGAACGAGAGGGGCAAGCTGCCCGACCAGATTCCTCTGTTCCGGGGACACACGGCCACTGTCTTGGACACGGACTGGTTTGTGACCCTATCTGCTTGAAGGGCTTCCCATTGCGGGCCGCACTAACAGAGACGTCTTTGTAGGAACCCTTTCAACGATCATATTATCGCTTCCGGCTCCGAGGATGGCAAGGTGTTTGTGTGGGAGGTCCCCAGAGACTTTACTCTGTACACTGACGCCGAAGACATTACTGATGTGTCGCCTGTGGGCAAGCTCGCTGGTCACTCAAGGTATGCCGGGACAAATGGATTATGCATGGGCGCACATGGGCGATAATTACGGACGCTGCTGACCCCTTATCGTCGGACAGGAAAGTCGGACAGGTGCTCTTCAACCCCGCCGCCGAGAATATCCTCGCCTCCGCCTCGGGCGACTTTACAATCAAGATTTGGGACGTTGGTACTGGCCAGGCCTCTCTTGCCCTCAAGCACAGCGACATTGTTCAGAGTCTCTCGTGGAACGCCAGCGGTACCATGCTCGTGACGACCTCTCGCGACAAGAAGATTCGAGTATGGGATGTTCGCCAGGAGAAGCCGGTCCACGAAGCTGCTGGTCATAGTGGCGCCAAGAACAGCAGAGCTGTTTGGATGGGAGAGCACAACCGTTTTGCTACTACCGGTTTCTCGAGAATGAGCGAGCGACAAATTGGCCTGTGGGAACCGGGAAGGACGGAGCCGATTGGAGGGTTCACTATGCTGGATTCTATCTCTGGTGTTTGCATGCCATTCTGGGGTAAGTCTTGGACAGGCCTGGTGTATTTCTTGTTGTGCGGGTGGGAAGTGGAAAGTACTAACTTGAGTAGATGAGGGATCAAACTGCCTGTACCTTGCTGGCAAAGGGTAAGCACTTGTTTCTCTATATAGATTTGAGATCACTTTGTTGACGTGCTTCTAGTGACGGCAACATTCGCTACTACGAATATGAAAACGACAAGTTCGAATTCCTCAGCGAATACAAGTCTCCCGATCCTCAGCGAGGCATCGCTTTCTTGCCCAGGCGTGGCATTAATGTACGCTTTACTGACTCCCAGAACAAGACGGCAAACGTCCAACATACTGACGAATGCAGGTCCACGAAAATGAAATTATGCGAGCTTACAAGACCGTCAACGACAGCTACATCGAGCCCATTTCCTTCACCGTTCCCCGCCGCGCCGAAACCTTCCAGGCTGATATCTTCCCTCCCGCCGTTGGCACCAAGCCCGCTGTCGGCGCACAGGGGTGGCTCGGGGGCAAGACTGGGATCCCGGCCAAGATTGACTTGGAGAGCATCTACGATGGCAGCGCTCCTAAGGAGGTGCCATCTGATTACAAGCCCCCCGCTCAACCTGCTCCTGCTCCTGCTCCAGCGCCTGTTAAGAAGGAGGAGCCCAAGCAGGAAGTCCAGAAACCAGCATCTGTTACTCGTGGTCCCCCGCCCACCATGAACGACCAGAAGACCTCCATTTCTAACCTGGCCAACAAGTTCCAGGACACGGAAGGGGACGACCAGGATGACCAAGACGAGACATCCAGCTTCGAGGAAATCTCACGACCAACCCAGCGAGTTGCTGGTCGAAACGATCCCAAGCCTCTACCCGTTCCTATCAAGACGCAGCCTGCCCCTGCTCCCGAGCCAGCCAAGGTAACATCTCCGGCCAAAACACCCACCCCTACTACGGCTTCCACTGCTGCCGCACCTCGCTCATCCACGCCGTCTGTTGGCGTCGAAGCCTCCCTGGACCAGATCAAGCAGCTGCTTGAGAACCAGGCCAAGATTATCACTGTTCAGAACGACAAGATCACCCAGCTTGTAGACGAAGTCGAGTCCTTGAAGAAAAAGGTCAACACTTCTGGATCGCAGGATCAGAGTGAGCGCATTAGACAACTAGAACTGGAGCTTGAGGAGGCGCGGTCGTGAGATGTAGCCACGCGTGGTAGCTTCTATGCTGGGGTTTCCCTTGGATTTGGCCATATCTTTTTTTTTATTTCTTCTTTGATGATGATGAGGACTCGGTGGAGGACTGGTGCATGGCTGCCGTGGAGTTGGGAGGACAATTTTGCTTTATTGTCTTGGACAGAGGGAGCATGAGGAAGATTACGGTGAAAGAATAGGGTAGGAGGTGTAGCGTGCTGTATATGCTATGTGAGCGAGACAATACCATACCTGGTTGCTTAACCATTTGATGTGAGGCTTCTAGGGGTGGTTGACAGTTTGGGATGTGAGCTCGCGAAGCTGTTATGGCATGTATAATGATGCAGACTGATCAAGTTTGTTCTGAGGTTGATTCCAGGCCATAATCGCCACTTGGTTCAATGGAGATATGAATGCAAGTTGAAGCAGCATGTTATACAATACCCGTCTGAACTACCCTACAGACCGTATAGACGTTGCGGAGTTGTGTGGATAAGAAGGTGAAGGAGCAGGGCTATTTTGTTATCCTGATTTCCACTACCGATATATACAGACATGTCAGGATCCGAAATCGAAGAGCTGGGAGAGTTTCGTAGTTGACGGCCAAGACTCATCTTCATTACTAGAATATAAAAAAAAAGGCACTCAACTTATGCCTCCGTGACCATCTCTACATCATTACACACTAAGGCTCATGTTGAATACCCGATAGCGAAGAAGAGTGAGCGGCCTCCAGCTCCCAACACGCATCATGTATGTAACCAAGGCGAACATCAACTCCACCAGCGCTCTCTCTCTCTCTCTCTTTCTCTCTCTTTCTCAGTTTCGCCACGAAAACAATTACCCGCCCAACCCCCCAGTCCAAGCGCCCATCCATCATCAATGCCTCGCAAACACAGCCATCCAAACTGCAACCATGACAAAAAAGAAAGGCCAGAGGCCGGCGATGTCCCCGCCCTCAGCAAGCGTCATCCCAGCACACATGGCCCTCGCATAAGACAGATCAACAACCAAGAACCCATCCATCAACAGAGCCACACTCGTGGTTATCCCCGAAGCAGGCATGCATGGTCCTAACCAGCTTGACCCCTCTCGCTCTGCAAATCCAGCACCCTCAGCCGGCCACCCAAAACGGCCAATCCCAAACGACGCATCACCTCCGTTTCACCAGACCCTGTTTCAGCTTACAACCTACTTACTCACCTACATAGTGACCAAGCCTACATAAACGCAGGAGGTGTGGTCGTTCAGGCGCGGGCGTCTACAGTAACGCCCCGGTGGGAAGAGGAATCTACAGATAATCAAAAAAGTAATCAAGAGGATACAGCAATTTGTGGCAAACCACCTTGGCAGGGTCTTGATATCCCCCCCCTCTCCAACATGTACCGAGGCAGAGTACATACATGTGTATAGATGGCCTTGAAACGAGGGGGTTTCTGCAGCAGTGTTCACCTCCGACAACATGTTTTGCATGATTCTCTCGCATTGAGAGTCAAATTCCCCATCTAGAGGGCAAGAGGGCAAGAGGGCATTTCGCAGGGCGCTTATGCGGGAGCAAGATGCAAAACCTTGGCTAGGCG